AAACATTAAATCAGAGCCTTGTCTTCCGCCCATGGTGACCACTGTCAGAAGGCAACAAAATTTCTTGTTTTTTTTTTCTCTCCAAAATCAGGTGAAAATTAATGCGCGCGCTGATGTCCCATAAAAATTATTTGCTGTGGCCTAATATAAGGGATCTCTAATGCGGCAATGGGTTATTACGAATCTCCGTGGATGCAGCGCTACCCCAAACAAGGCCCTCCCACCGAAAGGAACCGCCACTCTAGCCGCTCGAAGAAACAAAACGCTCCCCCACTAGAAGTCTACTAACCACGGCCTTGCGAGAACTTCCTAGTTTTCCATTCCTGCAGTCCTTCCCGCATTTTCTGCTTAGATTCCTCCCATGTAAAGATCGGCTTGTAGCCGAGAAGACGCCTGGCTTTCTTACAGTTGAAGTAGAAGGTCGTGTTCAGGAGTGTCAGCAAAGCCAGAGTTATGGGGGGAACGAAGTTGTAAAACGGTTTCAAGAGAAAACGCAGGAAAGCGAGAACATAAGCGATGAAGTAAAGGACCCAGAGAGGAAGAACCAAGCTGTCGTCCCAACGAATTTCGATAGGGGCGCATAGCTCGCTGTACCTCGTAACCTCGTTCTGTACCGGCGTGTTCGTCGGTTATGAAGAACGCCTCCCCGCCTGCGGTGCTTGGTGACGTTACCAGCGTCTGAGTGGCCAGGAGGTGAGGCTTAGGCCACACCAAGTAAATTTTATGGATGACGTCCTTTGGAGACCCTAAATCTAATGCGAGAGGGCGAAAAAAAAACAAGAAGGGCCCTAACAAACAAGATGCCTAGATTAGGAATATACTAAGAGACGACAAATGTTAGGACACAAATTGAATGAGGTGACACAGTGTAACAAGCAAGAAGTCTTATTCATCATCAAAACAGCAATGACAGGTGGAACAGCAGTTATCGTCCTGTCCTGTTTCTTACATCACATTTTTGCAGGCCTGCGGAAACAAAGCATGTGCTCTTTACCAATTTTGCGTTACGGGGTTCACGTCAATCTAACGATTTGCGGCACATGTCGTGACTCTTTGGTCATAGTTACAGGAAGCGGAATTTCTTGTTTTTTTTTCTAGGAACAGGCCAAAATCAATGCGCGCGCGGACGTCATCCATAAAATTTACTTGGTGTGGCCTTATGGTTGCAACAAGAATGGGTTCTCAGTTCGGTCCATCATATCTACGTTCTGTTTAATCCTCACTTAAAGGTTTATTTCTTGCCCAATGAAACCTTCGTTGGTAATGATCTACATTTGACAAGCACTTACTTAATATGGATTTAATACGTCCCTTGAAAATTGGCAAAATTTGGGCAGCTTTAAAATGACCACAATACACTGTGGTGCAACTGTCATTGTGGGTACGATTGAACAGAAAATACCCCTCCCCGCGCCTGAACGCCTGCAAAGGAAGCATATTTTACAAACTTGCTCGAACGTTGCACTAAAGGTTTTCGCAAAAGCTTTTGATGGATCTCCCCAGGCCATTTTCCTTTTAGATGGCCCTCCCCCGAACGCTTTAGCCATTTTTGTTTCAATGGCCCTCCCCCCAGGCCCAAAAATTTCAAAATGGCCCTCCCCCCAGTGCACCATCCCTCTCCCCACTAAATATCGTCTACTCTCAAAGTGTAGCTACAAAGCCTGGTGAAACCTCCTCAGAGATTTGAAATGTGTACACTGAACATATTCTTACTTGTGTGGCACAAATCAGACAGCAATCTTAGCGATATTTCAGCGCTGATCCGACACAGAATGAGTTGTGTGTGGAATGAAGTGTAACTTGTCCTTTCACTTCAGCTTATTGTGAGTCAGAGTATTGAAATGTCAAAGTGTCACCTCTGACATGGGGGTGGCGTCTGGAGCCCTCGATTCTTTATGGATCGTAAATCTGGTGTTCAGGTACGCCTCCCATCGAATGGATCCTCCTGAAATTTTGTAAACAAGACCTTCCGAGCCATGATCGGTGTGTGGACTCGCCGCAACTGAGCTGAACAAGAATTCGGAGATCCCATACCTCCATGAAACATGAGTTATTGTGTTCGTCAAAAAGAGTATGTACATATGTATTCGGTTTGGCCGTTGTTTGGGTCCGTATCATATGTTGGTCGACGATGTAACTCGATTATTTGTCGGCGCATTTTTTACATTTTTGGTGTGTGGGTAGCAGTTGTGAAAATGTACTTGAAGTTTAAAAATGGACCACCTGACTTTTCGTAATTGCAGTGGGCTTTTTGAGCATTTATCGATTGTGTTAATGCAGCCTAGATCTGTGAATGGATCGTAGTGATATTTGGTAGGTGTGCAGCGGTTTAAGAAACAAATTTGAAGGTTAAAAATGGTTATCCCATGATGTGTCTACATTGCTGCAAAGAGTTGTGTATTTTTGGGTTTTCGTTTGTGGACAAAATAACGTGAGAAATGGGAGCGGGTTTTAATGGTATTAACTGTTTAGGTAGGGACATGAAAGGCGAAGGTCAAGGTCGATAAGGGATAATTTGAAGTGTCAGGTGAATGATTTCTAGGGATCATCGGGAACGAATGGTGTGATTTTGGGACTCCTAGTAGCTTGTTTGGGACTGTAGTAGACAATTGTGTTTTTTTTTTTATAGCCGCAACGTTTCCGAACGAACGGCCGGGAACATTTTTACTCCGAGATGGCGGGGCAAGGGCAAGGGCAAGGGCAAGGTAAAGGAAGATGAACGCTGGATTCGCGTACGTCGATACGTACTAAAACATTATCAATTTTTTGGCAAGTTCAGGAAAAGAATCAACATTTTGTGCTGTTCAACCCTAGTCCTGCGGCCGCCGAGTTTCCTTTTTTATATGTTTTATGTGTGTGGACTTCGAGTGTACTCGGTTTTCTGGTGCCCGCGTGAACCCAAAAGTGTCCACTGATATGTCCTAAAATATATCGGTCATGTGTGCACAGTCTAAAAGCACCCCATGGCGGTTTATTTACAAAGTACACGTCTTAACCCTTGTCCTGCTGGCATTCCTTACACAATATTTTAAAATAATTTCATTTTGGCCTGCGGTGCCATAGTTACTTCGTTACGTTTCGCTGCGGTGTGATGCTTTGCACGAGAAACACTCCAAAATCGATCGTACCTAAACAGGGTGATAATTATATAGATGATACTATATGTGAAAAACAGCAATTGTTGTGCTCCGCAGGACAAGAGTTCGAGATTGATTGTTGTCTTTATAAAAAAGACTATGTATTTGGTTTGGCCGTGGTGTGGGTCGGTCGGTTCATCGTGGTCTTCATCTTCCTCATCGCCCGATAAATCAAGCGTGTTAGTGTCATGTCAATAACGTAACGCTTTCGGTAAGATCCTGTCTCGGGATCTACGACGACTTTCCCCGAGGCAACAGCTGACTCGTCTCGGTGTTTTCTCTCTTGGTGACGATCAAGGTTAAACTTACGAGCAAGGGAGAAATGAGGCGAGGTACATGTGCAAAGAAAGATATTTGTATTTCGACTCTTCAAAACACAGATACAATTTAGAAAAAAAAAACGATGCTCACCATCTGGATCCCAGTAGTAAATTGTATACATAAACTTAAAGAAATCCGTCCTGGCCACCGTTACTACAGCTGAGAACACACAAACATCGGCAAGTACCATAACCCTTCATCGGTGGTAACGTATATGAATCAAAATAACTTTACTATTAACTGAAATTGTAGCGGGGGGGTGGGTGAAGTGACGTTTCGGACCGCATTCTTGTCGCAACACCACCACATGGCGTTAGTGTAATATGACTAAAACCTGGCCCTCTGCGCATGGGCCTACTATTGACCTTTGCCCCTACGTCACGAAAGGTTGTTGAGAATTTCATGTTCAATTCATACACATTAAACGCTGTACACACACACACACACACACACAAACACACACACAAACACACACACACTCACACACACATATATACATATATATA